GCACATTCTGCTGGCATTTGGGAACTTAGCCTTGAGAGTCACCTGCTTGTCTGAGGACAAACATTTGTATATTTGGAACATGAAGAGAGGGCTCTGTACTTGAAATGACTCTAGAATTGTACAAAATGTAGAAATGCAGTTTGACTCTCTGGTGCTGAATTAAATCCTTTCTGAGGAAAACATCCTTTGAGAAAGGAGATGCTTCAGGAATATCTACCGTTTGGCATTTATGGGGTGGAGAAAATTAACTCATGCAACAAATGCAGTTGAAAATTTCATTGAAATGAAAGATCGAAGCAAAAGGTAGCGAGGTCATGTTATGGTTCAGAAAACCAGCTCTGTGTATCCTGTGTACCACTGGGCAGACATAAGCTGGTGAATTGTGCCTACCAGCATGGAAATGTGGAGGTGTCCAGGCTTTTTTGTAGAGAAACTGAAATATACTGGTTGCACATTTAAGTAGGGATAATGAAATTTTTAAGTGGAATTTGTTAATGTTTTAAAAACAAATATGTTTTATAACACATTCATGCAGTAGCAAATAATATACTGAAAAGAGTATTTTTTCCTCCACTTCTGCCCCCCAAGTCCCTGTTTTCCTGCTGAAGCAACCACTATGAGCAGTTTCTTGTGTATTTTTCAAAGATAGTCTCTAAATATAAAAAAAAGTATGTACAAAATACTCATTAAACAAAATGATAAAATACGATACACGTGGTTCTGCACCATTCTTCTTTCTCTTAAAATGCATCATAGGAATAATTTCAGATCAGTACTCCATTCATTTTACAACTACAGGGCATTCCCCAATATGGATATACCTCATTTAACCAGTTACCTTTGGTGACTTTTTACATCATCCTCAGTCTTTTGCTGTTACAAACAGTAGTGCATTGAAGATCCTTGTCCACCTGTTATCAAACATATGTGAATATATGTGTTCTCCACTCTTCACAAAGTCCCAATTTAATTTTACTATACAATAGCTAAGCAGTGATGAAGAAATATCCAATGAGCATAGGAGGCAGAGTCATACTAATAATTGCTTACATCATTTACTCTGTGGTAAGTATGTGATAGTAGTCATTTAATTCTTATTACTCTATGGGGAAGTTAATTGCTGTTGTTGTTAATTATGTAAGTGAGAAAGCCAGGATTTGAATTGACCCAAAAAGCTTGATTCCAGATCCCTGGCTGCTATTGTGGGGCTGCACTGCTGCCCAGCCATTCCACTGCCACCTCATCAATGACAGAGCATGTATTGGATACCTACGATGCACTTGACATGTATTATTTAACATTCACAATAGCATTATGAGGTGTTGTGGGGTTTTTTTAAACACCGTCTTAATGAGTTTGAATAACTTGCCCCAAGTGCCAGAGCTAGGAAGTCAGGAGCCTGGAATGGCATGGAAGCAGAACATCTGACTCCTGAGACCACAGCATAACAGAGACAGGAATTTAAACATTTGGATTTACATCCAGCAGCTGGAAGACAGAAAGGAAATGAATATATGACTGGGACTTTAATGGAACATATTCAAGTGATCAGAGGGATTAAGAAGGGCTGTTGCAGGGGCCACTGGAAGACAGTTGGTGGCACATCTGTAACAACATCTGTAGCAGAGTGAGACCCGGTGGTCTGTATGAATCCATGGTTCTCCATAGACAGTGTCTCCAAGTCTAGATTGCTTTGTTCTCACTGACTGCTTCCATCTTTCAAAATCCCACACCTATACATAGTATTTGTATAACAAACATTTGTGATGTGGCACCGGCATGTCTTAGAGAAAGGTGACTTTGCTCTGAGTCGGAATTTGTGCCCACAGGGAACAGAAATCAACAAGTGCCCACCCTGGAAAATAAAAGCGAGAGCACTGAGGTTTCCCCTGGTGTCCATTCCTCCAGGTCAATTTCTTCCGTCTCCACTGAGTTTTCCTAGCATTGCCTCATTTAATTCAGTTACTTTTATGTAATGTCTCAGAAAAAGTAAAAGTTGTAGTTAGTATCAAAAGACATGCCTGGACTGTTTATTTGGTTATTATAGTAAAGATAATGACGAAGCTACATAATGAGTATTTACTGCAGATCAGGAAATACGCAGAAGGTTTTATATGGGTTATCTGGTTTAGTACCAAATCCCTGTCAGAAGGATATTATTATGATTTTTGTTCTCATTTTATAGATGTGGTTTTTAATTTCTAAGTTTTTTTTTAAATTCACAATTATAATTCTGTAAGGCATGCTTTTGCCTACACAGCTTTGCCATTCCACCTTGAGCAAAGAAGAAAGTACTTTCTAACTCCACAACATATTTTCTATTTTTGCACTTGTCCTTCCGGTCTGTGTCCAAGTACACTCAGCAATTAATATGTGTACAATTCTGTATTCTGATTTTTTCATTCAGTATGGTCATAAGAAGTTGGTTTCTCAGTCATCTTCATTATCACATAATGACTGCATACGAGTAATTGCTATAATTTCTTTAATAATTTCCCTCACTAGGGACACTATGTTGCTTCCATTTTATCTTATAGATGCTACTGCAATGAGAAAGTTTGTGTACATAATTTATTTTATTCTCTTTGCATTTCCTAGGAGAAAGCCCCTTGTTCAGTCAAAGAGTAAAGACCCATTTGACTCATCCTCTAACTTTCGGAGTTAGAATTATTTTCATGGGAGCAAATAGCGAGCATTATTGATATACTTATTCTGTAATCTTAAAGGAAATGTCTATTTTGAACCATTTTGGGGAATTACCTGTTTTTCAGTATTTTAATTGTATAATATGAATGAATATATATGCTAAATAATATATAGTAAACGGCATAGGCCTAGTGAGTGATGCTTTTGCATTATTTAATTTTATAAGTAGATGAATTGGGCTTGGAGGAGGATGGTGTGTACAACAAAAGTATTCAATCATCAACAAGTATTTTTTTGAGAAACTACTATGAGCCAGGCCCCATGATTGTCACCAAGTTGATGATGGTGAATGTGGGGGGCACAGCTCATTTCCCTACAGAGCATTACTAAACGCTCACATCTAAGATGGTTTTGTCCTTGACCTTGTGCCACAGCACACTCTTGTCCTTGTAACACTTCTGACTGCTTTCTTCTTTTGCTTTTGTGGACTCTGACTCATTTCTTAATATCAGTGCAACCACAAAGGGTAAAGAATATCTTACTTTCAGAGATAGCTATGTATATATAATTTCTAAGAATTCCTGAAACCATAATTTTCCCCTCCCATCTCTGTGTTGGTAGGATTTAAGAAACCTTTTTATTTTTCTAGGATGAAAGTATTTTGCTCTGTAGTTTGGGAATCCCTAATTATCTTAACCCCATGGCATATATCTTACATTGCATCTAAAACATTGATCTTTTTAGCATTTTATGCTAGATAAACCAAGTACAGGAACTTTGGACCTTTCATTACAGGAACATCCTCATGTGAAAATAAAATGTAAATTTAGGGTATGTACCATGGTTTATTAATACACTGCACTATAATTGCGATTTTCACAAGTAGCGATAATCATTTTGGTCCCTTGCAGTGGTTCTCAACCTTCTGGCCCTTTAAATACAGTTCCTCATGTTGTGACCCAACCATAAAATTATTTTCGTTGCTACTTCATAACTGTAATGTTGCTACTGTTATGAATTGTAATGTAAATATCTGCTATGCAGGATGGTCTTAGGCGACCCCTGTGAAAGGGTCATTCGACCGCCAAAGGGTCGCGACCCACAGGTTGAGAACCACTGCTTTAGGGAGTCAAATATATAGAATTCCTATGTAAAATGCACTTCAGAATTGCATTTTAACTTTTCACCAAATTCTTTCATCCAGAAAGACCTACTAATTTGTTGGTGAATATAACTTTGTCATGCTGTATATTACTCTTTTTTCAACTCTACAGTGCCCAATTTTTACTTTACTGGTGCTTAAAATTTCAATGGGGAAAAATAACATTTAGTAAATATGATGTTGGTTTAATGGCTTACTATGCAGATTAAGCTTTTTCCTGATCAATTGAATGTTTCACTACCAGAAATGTTGTTTTATCATTTTATAGGAATGTTATGCATGTTATCTAATATGCATTTAAATTTTAGTAAAATCATTATATGCATTTGGGTGTATAATTACCTATTGATCTATTGATTGATAGATTTATACTTCTATATGATTCCAGTGGACTGACTTTTTTCAAGAGAAAATTTGTATTAGGACCTAAAGATAAATGTCTACCTCTCAATTCAAAGTTGTATAAATGATTCTTAGCTGAGATGCCCAAATTAGTTTCTCACATTATTCTATATAAACATGATTTGAATTTATATGTGAGGATATGTTCCAGAAATTGAAATGTATAGAGTCCTGTTCTTGATGAAAAAGGGGCAGCTGGAGGCAATAATGTCAGAATACCACTTGCATGGGTTGAAGTAAGGCTACTTAGCTATGACGCTGGCTCCTCTGGGTAACAATCTGCCCATTGATATGAGCAAGGTAGCACAGAGGTGGGAAAGAAAATACAAAGGCATCTGGAAAATGAACTCTGATAGATTTTTATAAAATTTTCCTTAAATTTCTAATATCCAATATCCTTAACACTGGGATTGAAGTCCTCCCTATTGTGACTTTGCACATACTGTTTGAACTCGAACCCTTGGAACTATATGTCTGAGAGCTGAATGTGTTCTTGGTCCCAAATCACTCTTGCCACTGCTCGGAAAGCAATGCAAGACAATAAGGAGTATTCACCTGATTGCTTTCCTGCTCCAAGACAGCTGGTGACACGTGTCTCCCTGATAACCGGGAGCTTCAGATCTAAGGCAGGGATAAGGGGAAGCTCGGAGCTCGAAGAATCTAAATTTGACAGCCGATGGCTGAGGAGAGGGTCAGCAGGGATAGAATCTGTGACACGTATAAGAAAGGAACAAAATTTATCTGCTCTGGTTGCAATGATTAGATGTCTCTTTGTCTGGCTTCCTTACAGCGGTTGACTGATTGTACCCGCCAGCTGGCTAATATCATAATTAACAAAGTTGCTACTACGTTGGCAAAGTTTAATCGAAAAATTTGCCAGTGATATGATGGCATTGTCACAAAGATCACAAGGGACACGGAGCCCACTTCTGCTCAAGGTGGAACGGCAAAGCTGTGTATGCAAGCGGAGAAATCGCAAACTTGTTCAGCCAAAGGTCGGTTTCTTTCCTAATTCCACATCCTGGGAGTTCTTATTAAGATTTTTTTGTGTGAGGGTTGGTGGATTCTATTTTGTTGCATGACCAAAATGATTTGTAGAAAAGATCCATATGCTCCTTGTGTATGTAAAGCATATTTTCTGAGAGCTTTGGTGGTGTATTTGTCCCCAAATCTGGAAATTCAGAAATATAATGAGATAGCTTTTCGATGCTGAGAGTTTTGCCTGTTGTTGTGTCTGGCTGATCTTTATCAGGTTTCAAAATAATTATTTAGTAACAAATGTCAATTGAACATTTATATTGTGTAGCGTTGGATTTATTTTGTTCCACAATGCAAAAGCCCTGCTCTGCCTCATTCTATCGTGTCAACCTAGTTACAGGAGCAAAAAGAAAAGCGAGCATAGTTATGGAAGATGTAGAGGTTCTATTTCAGTTTCAAGAAATGCTTAAAGTGGGGGATGGAAGGGCTGAAATCTTGATTTTAATTAAACCAAGTAATTGGGGCTTTTTACATTTAGAGAGACCGGTATTTCTTGAAATGATGTGCTGTTCCCCCAGTGCCAGTCTGGCCATTGACTGTTTTACCTGTATTTTCTTTTCACTGTGATTTGCTCTGCTTGATTGAATATTCAAGCTCCGGAGAGTTTCCCAAATGATAGCCATCACATATTGCTGATGGATGAACATGAATACCGGTGACGAGGGACATGTGCCTCTGTGTACATGCCTGCGCGCTGCCTCCGAGTACAGAGGCAGGAAGGCATCTCAAAAAATATGCAGAAGGCAAAGTTTGGCTTATTTATGCTGTGTCACACCACTGCTGTAATACCAAGGCAATCAATCTGCTATATAACTGAAGGCATACGTTAAGGTTCTTTTATTTTCCCTATGTGGTCATCCAGGCCACTATATAATGGCAAAACACACACACACACACACACACACACACACACACACACACACACCAATTCAGTTTTTGCCTGTTATTCTTTGTCTTTTTTGTTAATAGCAGTGTTCAAACATCATGAAATAACATTTTGGAAACAAATTAATTTATAGCATGTATATTTTTTATCAGCCCATTTAAACTTACTCATGGTTTTATTCTTAACCATGGGAGACTAGTAGTTTGTGTGTAGTTATTTTAAAATTTGACACTAAAATTTTATATTCTCAAATTTTAAAAGTGAATCATGTTATGATTATGAATTTTAGAGTCTTTAAGTGTCCAGGTACCTTCATAAAAGCCACTTATTGAAATTTTGCTGAACATTTGACTTACATTTTTAATCTTTTCTGAAACTGAATGATGTTAATAAAAAAAGCTGAAAGTGAAGCTTTCAATAAATATGTGATTATATTTCAGACATCATTTTTAGAAGAGAATGTTATTCTCATAACAGAAACCCTCTTTTATTTTTCTTTGACTTTACATCTCCCTCCTCCTAATATTTGGTACACAATAGGCACACAATTTGTATTTATTGAGTGAGTAAATTAATGACATTAAGTCTTTCTGCTGCTATTCAAATATGGTTAACATTTGCTTCCTCCAAATCAATAATAACTTTTGTGTGTGGTAAACATTATAGACAGAAACAAGTAGATGAATGATATAATCACAGACAATAAGGAGGATTAAGTTCCTAAAATAATAAAATGTTGTTTTAACCTAAACCTCCGTACTGTTTTGTGTAATTGAGATTTGCTATTGTATCAACTCAGTTGGAGTAGCAGAGGTCTATGAGGATTAGAAAGGGCTAGGAAAGTGGTTCACAGCTAATGCACCCGCTCCTTTAAATAAGATTATCTCCTGAGATGTGTAGAAATGAACTCTTGTCAGAGTTTCAAAGGAATTAATATTTTTGGTAAAATGTGCTAATGTAAAGAGTTAGAAGATTAGTAGTGCATAATGAAAGCAATGCATTCTTACGCATGGAAATAGGAATGTAATAAATGTCCTGCAGGTGATTGGGGCTGCAGCAATTTTATTGAAGATTAAAGTTTGATTGACCTTTGTTAGGGTGATTAACCCTTCTGAAATTAAAAGCCAGAGCTGAATTATTCTGGCCAATTTAAATGCAAACATTGAGCAGGTTGTATGTCATTCAAATAATAATAATAAAAAACCCTCCTATTTTAATTTTCAATTTTGCACATCTCAATGGGATGCTGTTTGGAAGGATCATAGCTCTGGCAAGAGCATCTCTGTGGCAAAGAATATAGAATAACGTTTAGATAATTAGGAGCATATGGGAAGAGTCCCAGGCATCACTCCCTCCATTCAAAATATCAAAACCACCATCCTCACAAAAACAGGGAATCTGAAAGCAGACTGCACATACCGCATGATCTCATTAGAAAACAATCTAAGGATATCCTGAAAAGGTTAGGAATAAATAACATTCTAATCCAATGCCAACCACCCAAGCTGCATATTATATCCGTGCTTAATCTATATGCTGTCTCCTAAAAGCGAAGCTGTTCATAAGAGGGGATTGCTTCTGATGTCTGGAATTTCATTGCCCATGATCTCTGATAGTCGATGGATATGTTCAGTATTTCCATTAAGTTAAAAAATGTCATAGGAGGAGCAAACGCTAGTTATTTACAGAGCCATTTAATGGTTTGGTTTTATTTGTCTTCATTAAATTTTCTTGAAGCCTTTGAAAAGTTGCATATTCACATTGCTTCAAAAGACTTTCCATTTTTCATAACATATTAAATTTTCTTTATTGCTAAGTCAGTGAATATTTTTAGGTTTAGGTTCCCTTTTATGTGTCTGCGGACTATTAAAATGATAATAAAGGCTCTCTCTTCATTCCATATGTAATTTATTTCTCTCTCTTTTCATCAAAGAATTCACTCTGAATGTGTCGAGGTAGAAAAGTCCAAGGTATTATAATATAAAAATTAAGAAGCCCCAGGTGCTACAGTTTATTTTGTGCAAGCTTTTCAAGTACTCTTTTAACATTCTTTTCAAAGACAGGTTTCTACTCCGGGCCTATGAAGAAAGTCAAAGATGAAAAACTTGTGATAGACTGATCTTATTCAGCCAGCCCAGGGAGTGGCATCCTCCAGAGAGCTGGATAATACCTTGCAGTATAGATTAATAACATGTTTAACTAAGATCTGTTTGCTATAAGGATAATTTCCTCATTCTTAATCGTGGGGCTAGAATTTAACCTCAAACTGTCAACAGATACGTTGTTCTGTACCTGCCTGATAAAGTATAGATTTTCAGCTTTAGCTTTGGTACATCGAATTGTCAGACTTAAAAAAAATCCAGTTGTTCCATGATGATACTAGTTTTCTTATTAAAGATAATCTTCACTAAAAAGTAAACACAAACTGCTAAATTAAATCTCTAAAATAAGCACTATTAATTCTTCAGATATAATTCAATAATCGTCTCTGATTTGATTATTCTTATTTTATCTCTTACCAGAACTAAATGAAAATCATTTTTGGCATTAAACCATATTGCAAATTCAACATGCTCTAAGCACCAAAAGCTAATGTGCCGAACTACTGACAACAGACACCCTTTTCTGGGTTTCTGTTAATTATCAGCAACCTTTTCCGTAGGAGAAAATCATGGCTTGAGAAGGGGAAATTCATATTGTCTTAGTGTAGAAAAATGAATTGGTGAAAGAGCAAAGACAAATAAGATTATGTTTTGTTAAATTCCCAAATCCAATCATTTGTTTTGCTTTAGTGTGCTTGGAAGACATTTTTATTTCTTTATTGCCTTTGTTTCTGGCTATCTGTCCCCTCTGATCCATCCAGTTTCAGATCTGATATTTTTCCCTTATAGCTGTGAAGTGACATTCTCTGCCATTAACAAGCCAAAATTAATCTGTTTGATATTTTTATAACCTCATATTTTGGTTGGAGTCCTGTTTAAAAAGCAGGCTGCTTAAAAAAATGAATAGTAGTGTCGTTTTATTGATTGCATATTGTTTGTGAATCAACAATTGAATTCCACTAAAACTTTAGAGTAAGCTGACCATAAGCAATTTTATTGTGTGGGGCTAAAGAGAGCTAATTGAGAAATTCAAAGATATTCAGAGTTTTTCAAATCATTAACAGTCAGAAAGTAATCACATGAACTTTTCAAGATAGTATTCTCTTTAATTCTAGAACAAAATGGGTTGAGTAATTTTGGTTGAGTGAATTATTTATTGTGATTTGTTTGACAGAATAATAAAAGTACTCTAGAGACAATAAGTGCTCCATTGTTACATTTCCAGCTAATTGTGAAGGTTAGTTCCCTAGAATTAGTTTTCAAGTGAATTGGAAACCTACCAAAGGTAGTGTAGTGTGATGCATGGCCTATTGATGCATTCACGATATTTGTATGGAAATGATCACATCACCTCTACGTATTATTTTAGAACCCAGAGAACTGCTTAATAAGATAACTTTGACTAAAATGCCTTTAGTATATTTCTAAAGCCATCACTGACAGACCTTTATTCAGTTTGAGCACCTCCTATGTTCCAGGTATTCCCTCCAACCCAGTGAGGTGGGTGTCTGAGCCAAGTTTTTTTTTTTTTTTTTTAATATATTTTATTGATTTTTTTACAGAGAGGAAGGGAGAGGGATAGAGAGTTAGAGACATCAATGAGACAGAAACATCGATCAGCTGTCTCCTGCACACCCCCCACTGGAGATATGCCCGCAACCAAGGCACATGCCCTTGACCGGAATCGAACCTGGGACCCTTGAGTCCGCAGGCCAACGCTCCATCCACTGAGCCAAACCAGCCAGGGCATAAGCCAAGTTTTATGGGCGGGCCCAAAACTGAGGCTCAGGACGGAGAGTGATTTGCCAGAAGTGAGACAGCCAGTCAGTGGCACAGCCTAGGTGGGAAGCTGGTCCTGTATTTCAAGACCTTCTTCACCAGGGCTATCATTGTGAGATTTATAGCATTCCAGTGTGCTAAAACTTGGTGACTATGAGCACAGGATTTTTAGATGAATTAAAACACTTAC